GCACTTTTACATGTATATAAAGTCTTGAATGAACATAAAATTTTCCAGTTTTAAAAACAGTTTTAATTAGCCTCTCTTTTCCTGCATATCAAGCATTCATTGATGTCGCCGAAACTTGATCTTTGCATTTTCAGTATGAGTAAATCAATAATGCCTGATTTCTCCTGACTATAAGAGAATATCAATGTGTGTGTTGTCTAACAGACAAGCTGGCCACTGAAAAAAAGTTTTAGACCTAAATGAATCTGTTAATCACCTTTAGTAGTTGGTATTTTGCAATTACAACAAGCTTAAAATAACTTCTTTATCAGACATCATACCACAGAATAACACATTAAATGCACAGGGTAGAAGGTCACAAAAAAAACAGTTTGTTGAGAGCCTACATGTCAAATACTATCAAGAAGTACTTAAACTCAAGCCAATATGCACAATTACAACAATAGGTGTCTTAAACTACCGATATGTTAATTTCCTAAAATGGAAAATTATTTCTCCTCTATAAAAGCAGCTATATGTCTGACAAAAAGCACAATTTGATATTTCATTCACACTTGGATATTTACAGAAAGTGAAAAATACTGGGTCATGAAATAACTCATTTGTACTGAAAAAAAAATCCTTTTAACTTGAAATTTACATATTATGGAAGGTTCTTGAAATCGATTACTTTGGAGACAATTAAATTACGTGTGAAGTTCTTCGTGTACATAATAAGTATCGTTCAATACACGGACTGGCCAAATATTCTAAAGGAACTGATTACAATGCAAATCGTAAGCTTTGAAAAAGAACGAATTCTCGACAAATCCTTGATGCGTTGGCTGCAAGCACGAAACCCATTCTTTTGCAGTTAGGTCCTTAATATTTCCTTCGAAATGCAAAGGAACGCTTCGTGCAGTGATAAATAAAGCTAAATAAATGGGTAAAACTTACGCAAAAATTAACACGATTCTCGAAATCGTATCAAGTACAGTCTAACTAGGTGAGAGACACTGACAGTCAAGAGAAAACATAAACAGAGTTAAGGAAAACGTCTTCAGTTATCAAAATATAAAGTACCCTGAGTTCTTATTCTTATCAAATGAAATTATGAGCGATCGATGTAAAAGATTTTCCAACCTGTCAAGAATTAGCAGAGGAAAGTGACAATATTTAACTACTTCGGACATAACTAGAATATTACAAAGCTATTTAAAAACATGCGGTCGTCAACACCAAACTGCCGCTCTCAAAAAGGTCGCTTTGAAGACATATGATTGCGGTTGGAACTTTTTGAAGGGCAACGATTCTAGAAAAGGCAATGGAAAAGCGGCAAAAAGTCGGAAAATGATGACATTAAGTCCCTAAAGTCAATAACAGGAAGAGCAAACTGGCCTTTTCAAAAACGCCATGTGATTAAACAAGAATACAAGACCGTTTATTGCATGAGCCCAAAGACCTCGGTGGACCAATACGAAAAAATCTTCAAAACACATCATTAAGTATCGCATTATCTTAGCTGCCCAAGATAATAAAATTGCACCCGACATTGTACCAAAAACTTGCTAAATTTTTCTTGATTCATATTCAAATGATTGTTCTTTACTTCCAAGAGAGTTGTTTACCCAATGAGTGTGACTGGGTTTGGAATATACATGTAAGCCTAGAACTTTCAGAGACATAAGAAGAAAATATTCAAGCTAGAAAAACCGAAGACCGATCGCTTTGACTCCCACAAATTACTAACAAAAGAAATCTGATATATACCTTTCTTTAACCACCAATGCAAAATCAAAGCCACGGTAAATAAATTAATAATACAAAAAAATTCGAGCGACATGGCGACTGTAATTTGCTGTCGATGGAAATATTGACAGCTTCTCGACAAAGTCTTAAATTCACGATCAAGTAACAGTTTTTCCCCTGACAAGATTTCGTAATCCATGTTTATTCAGGTGCACAAGAAAACCTAGATTGGCGCCTGATGACAACACCAAAATTTTTCCCCCGTTTGTAACCAAAATCATCAAAACATTTCTGGAAGTAGCATACAGTAACTAAGGATGAACGCAAGTTCAACCAACATATAAAATGTGTGTTTACAGAAGATCAAGTCTTGAATTAACATCTAATAAGCTCGTTCTTTTCCTGAATTAAATGGAAAACACAAAAAGAACTAAACAACAGCAATAACTATCAGAAGACTTGGTCGTCGATGCAACTCGAGGTAGATGTGAAATTAACAACGTTATGTACAGCAAAATGAATCTACATCCAGCAGATTGCAATATCACTCTGTCATTTCTTTACACTTACGCTTAACATCTCACAGGTTTAACGGACATAGCGGCCTTTAAGAAACCTGTGTCCAATTCCGGTGTAAATTATAATCTTCTACAGCACCTACACAACAAAAATTATCGCATAAAATACCTTGAACGATGACCTGGGCAGCTTCGACGTACACTCTCTCTTGAGTTGTATTTGGCTTGAAAACGCGATCAAATGTAAAAGTTCTCCCCTGAAACGCACAAAGCAAAAGTGAAATTTGTCAACGACAGGAGCATAACTTGGATAGCGACAGGAATATTTGCGCTTTAATTTACTGTAGTAAGCTTAAATGGTGGCGACTCACCCCGTGAACGCAAGTATCAGACGTTTGAATAGATACTATATTTTGTCCTCCTGCCCGAATTTCTGCGTCCGATTGCGGTCGAAACCGCGAGAAAACCTTGATATTACACTCCCTGGGATCAGGATTCATGGCTAAAGCAACAACCTCGCACAAAATCTACGGCGATTACAATGAATAACCAGCTTTCATGTGTGATCCATCGGCAAATATTTCGGGTTTCACGTAGAACATAATTGCCGGTAAATTCACTCCATACCACCAAACGAGATCAAAATAACCCTTTGACTCGTCACGATGTTTCTCTGGAGATTGTTGAATGTATCGGAATTACTTTACGACTGTTCCGGCTCCTATTTCGAGGCCATTTCTCCACATATCCCTACAAATTCACGTTGACATCGACTACTCCGGGTCGGCCATTATTTCCACCTCCACAAACG